CAGAGGGAGGCGCAGAGGCCCCACGGCCTGAGGCCGGAAGCCCCACCAGCGACTTTAACACCCGCTTGGAGAAGATTGTGGACAAGAACACAAAAGGCAAGCATGTGAAAGTCTCTAATTCAGGCCGCTTCAAGGAGAAGAAAAAAGTCCGCGCAATGCTGGCAGAGAACCCCAGCCTCTTCGACGATCGAGAGGGTAAAGGAGAGTGAAGGGGGCCCAGGAGGATGCTCGCACCTCCCACCCTCCTGCCACCAGCCGGGCCTGAGACAGAAGCTCACCACACTGGCCCCCGCTTTGGTCCTAGATAAAGTCATGGGAAGGTTGTTGTTGCCTGCTGGCCAGGAAATGTCTTGTTCTTAGGTTTGTATTTATGTGCCTCTGCTTTGTGTTAAGGCCTGGGCAATCCCAGGTTCCTCCCCCTTTCCCCTGACCACAATACAAACCCCTCTCCAGTTCAGGATGGAAGCTACCATCCAAGAGAAAGAGAGAGAAAGGCAGGGCCTGGGCAGGAAGGGGGCCTGGCGGGAAGTGGAGTGAGAGGGTGCCAAGAAGGACTCCACCTTCTCCCTGGGGACAGGGTCAAGGGTGAGTTTGAATTGCTGCTTAGATACTTCACTTTCTCTACCTGTGACTGCTCCCTGGACCAATCCTAGAGGAGCACATTTTCTAGAAGCCACGTGATGAGGGCGGTTTCCTTGGTGCCAGAGGCAGAGACGTTGAACTTGAGTTCACCTCTTCACAGAAGGGGTAAACTTCCTGGAACTTTGCCCCAGGTATGGAGGGGCAGAGGACTCGGGACTCATCCTGGGGCTGCTGCAGGCCTGACCAGAAATTCCCCCAGGTTCCCTAAGATGTCCTATCCCCCCCCCCCCCCCAGGAGGGACAAGGGGGGGGCGGGGACTCTGGCAAGAAGTAAACAGCCAGTTTTGCCCTCTTCCTTCTCCCTGTAGTATTTAAGACAGATCAGCCCCAGAGTGAATCCTGGAGCCTTGAACTTTTGTTCAAAAAGTAACTGTAGGTTTTTCTTTATAATAAACGATGCTTGTAAAAGCCGAGGCCCTATCTACACTCTCATCTTGCACTGATGGCTGTGTCTGTGTCTCGGAGTAGTGAAGTGGGTCTTTGTGTTCATACTCTTCCTTCAAAGTTCAGGAAGGGTTCCAGTGGGACCATGTTGGAGCTGGGTTGCTGACTCCACCATCAACCTGGGCTTGGTATGACGAGGGACAGAAGAGCCAGTTACAGCTTAGTGGCCAGTTCCTTCAGGACAATAGAATCCATCAGGGAATCCAAGAGGCAACTGACGATAAAGTCTCAGTGATTTGGTTTGGGATTAGGCTGCAAATCCTGGTTTCATCCTTTAGAAGCTAGACAGCCTTGGGGACATATTTTTAAGACTAGCCTGAAACTAGTGGTAGATTTCCTGTCCAGCAAAGCACGAAGTCCTGAGTTCAAACCCCAGTACCACAACAAATTAAAAGAAAAAAAAAAAGACTACTCTGGCAGGGCACTGGAGGCTCATGCCTGTCTGTAATCCTACTCAGGAGGCTGAGATCTGAGGATCAAGTTCAAAGCCAGCCTGGATAGGAAAGTCTGTGAGACTCACATCCAATGAACTATCAGAAATCCAGAAGTGGTACTGTGGCTCAAAGTAATAGAGTGCTAGCCTTGAGCAAAAGAGCTCAGGGACAATGCCTAGGCCCCAAGTTTAAGCCCCATGACTGACCAAAATAAATAAATAAAATAAACAAAAATAAGATAATAAAAAATATTATGACTACTCTGAAGCGGGGCATGGTGGTGCATGCTTGCAATCCCAGTCCTGGGAAGGATGAGGCTAAAGGATGGTGAGATCCTGGAAACCTTGTCTCCAAAGAAAGAAATGGAGAGGAGAGAGGGGATAGAGATAGGCTAGGAAGAAGAGTCCTCCAACCCTCAGTTCCCCCTTCCCAGGAAAGAGGCTGTCGTAAGATCTATCTTGCAGGAAGTGGTCTATATGTAATGTGCCATAAGTTCTTCCCATAGCCAGTGCTCAATTAAAAATCGGTTTTCATTTATTATGGAATGCCACCATAGCCACAGCTTCAGTATACTAACAAGGTGAGAACTCCCTCCCTGGCTCATCCTCAAACCACAAGAAGGTCTGAAAAAAAATTAATTGGCAAAATCTCTGGAGTTCAGGGGAGAAACCAAGGTAGTCCCGAAACAATGTGGTCCTGCAGGCTGCTGGGCCACCCCACCCTGGGGAGCTAGCTGTTCCTGGTGAAGTCCATTGCCAAAATAAACATCTGTACAAGGGGGCCTTTGTTGGTTGACTTGTCTAGGCCAGGGCGAACTCTGTGTAGCACAGAAACAGACCAGAGGTTGGAGGGACCAAAAGCTGAGGGATCTGCCTTCCGCCAAGCCTCTTTATCCTCTATTACACAGAACTTTCTAGGGTCTCACTAATGATTCCATCAGTAAAGCCTCACGTGGAGATCTTTATCACTCCGTCCCCAAATTTGAAGCCCCGCCCACTATTAACTCCATTAAACAGTGTCTACAAAGGGCTGAGCGCAAGTCTGCCACAAGGTTTCTCATTTAATCCTCTCGTAAGTCAGGTGTTGCCATTCTCCTCAATTTCCAGACATGTTAGCTGAGGCGGAGGGAGGTTGCACCAGACACTTTAGATCAGGTGCTGGCAGTAACAGAGCTGGGTTAAAGTTGGAGCTGGTCTGTGCATGTGACCCTCCCATTTCAGGCCCCCCCAAACCTCCCCCTCTAATCACACTTGCTGGAAGTGTGGGAAGTTGAGGCTCAGAAAGAAGGGAATGGGTCGGTCACCTGGACAAGGGGAGTAGAGATAAGAAGGTCCTATCTGGGCCTGATTCCTGGGAAATGAGCCTCACCCCAAGGGGGTTTCTACAGCTCAGAGACAAGGGCAGAAAGTCAACTAGCCTCGAGGCTGTGATCCCTAGGTGTACACAGCAGAGACCTCCCACGCCAGAGGGTGAAAGTTGGCCTGGACACCACCCCGTAGTCTACCTAATACTGGCACTGCCTTGCCACCTCCTCTGAGTCCAAGGGCTCCTCTGCCCTTCACAGGGCAGTCCTGTGCACCACAGCCCCAAAGCAATTCCTGTTTTGTTTTGTTTTAAACCTTTCTCCAAGGAAACTGCACATACACCTGTAAGCTGGAGGGCGGGCAGGCAGGCTGGGGCACAATCTGGCAGCTCAGGGAGTTCAGAGCAAGGCAGCTAGTTTACAGCAAGTTTACAGGAGAGGAGGAGGAGGAGGGAGGAGGAAGGAGGAGGAGACGGGAGAAGGAGGAGGAAGAGGAGGAGGAGGAACCACCAAGAGCGTAAATATGTGCAGGAGCCACGAGAGGCTATGGGTTATCAACCACAGTTTCACTGGGCCACAACCCAAGAGGAGGAAGGGGGAGGCAGGGGAGGCCAGCTGGAACTGGCCTATACTGCCCAGAAAAGGCTGACCCTGGGCGGCGAGCTCCCCCTGCTGGACACCCTGTCTGCATGGTGAGCAGTGAGGAAAAAAGTCCCAGACATTCTGAGTTCCCCTCCCTCCTCAGGTGGGGCAGGAAAACCAGACCATGTCAGACATTAATATCACACATGGATGACAGGTTTTTATTACACACTTGGAATGGTGAATGAGGGACAGAGAACTGCAAAGGAACAGCTGAGACCAGGCTCCAAGCTAGAGGAGGACACACAGTCACCATGACACGGGTCAGGGGGTACAGTGCGTCTCCATACCCACCACCATGGACTCCTGTCACAATCCCAGATAGCCGACAACAGAAAAGAGGCAAGGAAGGTAAGGGTCACAGGCCAGATGTCTTTCCTTTCCACTCAGGCTTAACTGGGGGTCTACAGAGAGAGAGTGGACCTCAGAGGACCCCTGGCAATAAAAGACGAAGGCACCCACACCCACATACAATCAAAAGTACAGTGTATCTGTTACAAGTTCAAGGCCAACCAGTACAAATAGTTCTCAGTTCCTGGCTGAGTCACAGCAAATATTGTCCAGCCTGGCTCTGTTCCACGGTCAGTAGGCTACTTGTTCATCTGCAACCAGCAGTCAGCTGACCCCATCTCTGATCAGGACTGTGTAGGGAGAAAGCCAGTGCAATCCAGCACAGACTTAGACTCAAAGGGTTACATGCTGAGAGTAGGAGGTGGGGTTGATTTAGAAGTTGAAGAGAGTCTAGTCTTGAGGGGTCAAATAAAAATGCAGACATGGATTCAGTAGTTTGGGGTAGTCCCAAAGATGTGCGTGTGCGCGTGCGTGCGTGTGTGTGTGTGTGTGTGTGTGTGTGTGTGTGTGTGTGTGTGTGTGCGCGTGTGTGTGTGTGTGTACACGCCAGTAGAGGGGGCCTGAACTTTAGGCCTCTCACTTGCTCAGCTTTTTCCCTAGGGTTGATGCTCTACCACTTGAGTCACACTTTTACTTCTGGCTTTTAGATGATTATTTGGAGATCAGAGTCTCTTGGGAGTTCTCTCTCTGGACTTGTCAACCTGGAATGGCTTCAAATGAAACTGTGACCCTCAGATCTCAGCCTTCTGAGTAGCTAGGATTATAGGCGTGAGCCACCTACACCTGCATGGATCTGCATCTTTAACAGACTCCCCAAGTAACACCAGCTAGGCCAAAGACAAGTAGCAAAGATTCCAGATCAGAAAGTCTTGATCTTGGTTGCACAGATTTCCTGGGCAGGGGTGTCTTTTAAGTTCTGAATACTAAAGCCGCACTCAGGTCAACTAGTCATTGGTAATTCCAGTGTGTGAAGTCTAATGATCTACATCAGGAAATCTCTTGGTCTGAACTACCAATTTCTTTAATTTAATTTAATTATTTTTTGGTGCTGGTCTTGGGGTTTGAACTCCAGGCTTGTGCACTATCCCTGAGCTTTTCATGCTCCAGTTTTTTGGTAGTTATTTGAAGTAAGAGTCTCATAGGCTTTCTTGCCTGTGAGATCTCAGCCTCCTGATTAGCTAGCATTACAGGCATGACCACCAGCCTGGCTTATGATTTCATTTTATATTTGAATGATAAAATACATGTATTTGTATGTACACTCACACATAAAATTTCCACTAAGAACACAAACAGTAGTTGGATTAAAATCTTCCTGGCTTATAGATAGCAGCCATGATGTGCGCCTCATCTGCAAAATTCCTGATTAGCTGAGATTGAACAGCTCCTTTGCTCTTAGGCAGTTCTAAGAGGATCTCGTTTGAAATCTCTTCAATGTCCTACAGTCCCACGCACTCTCTTAACACCCTGCCTCTCCAGAATCAAGGTGCAAGTCTTTCATAGAGCCAGTCTTCTTCACCACGGTGAGTCATGGGTCCCAAAGAGGAATCTCTAGCCGGGAGGCCACGCCGGAAGACAATTCGGTCATGCAGGCGGTTCGTTTGGCCTTGCCAGAATTCTATCACCTGAGGGTATAGGATATAGCCACCCCTACAAGGAGAAGTAGAGATATACTGTCTCCCTCCATTCTTTAATCCCTCCTCCCAGGTTTGTGAAGGAAGCTACTGGGGTGCATCTGGGGAGGCCTGCCCAGAGGGGATTTGTAATCCCACACTTAGAGTCCTGACGTCCCTTTCAGAATGAGAACCAGACATCACTCACCAATATTTTGGCTTAGGTACCTCTTGTTCCTGGTAAAGCTGCTTCAGCTCTTCATTTTTCTTTCTCAGATACTGTTAAGGAGGAGAGAAGGGAAGACTAGACATAGGTAATGATTCATTTAAGGGCTTAACCATGTATTACATGTTCTTACAAGCCGAGCACCAGTGGCTGTAATCCTAGTGACTCAGGAGGCTGAAATCTGAGGATCCAGGTTCAAAGACAGACAAGGCAGCAAAGTCCATGAGATCCCCTTCTCCCCCTTGTGGAGCTTAAACTCAAGGCTATCCCTGAGCTCTTTTGCTCAAGGCTAGTGCTCAACCACTTGAGCTACAGCACTACTTCTGGTTTTCTAGTAGTTAATTGGAGGTAAGAGTCTGGTGGACTTTTCCTGCCTGAGGCTGGCTTTGAATTGTGATCCTCAGATCTCAGCCACCTGAGTAGCTAGGATTACAGATGTGAGCCACCAGTGCCAAGAGACTCTTAGCTCTAATTAACCATCAAAAAGGCGGATGATAGAGTGCCAACTTTGAGTGAAAAAGCTAAGGGACAGTACCCCAGGCCCTGAGTTCAAGCCCAAGTATAAGCACAACACCCACAAACACACACCCACACCCACAAACACACACACACACACACATATGTGCTCTGGGCCGTGTACTGGGCCAAGTAGACTGGAACACAGTCAACAGGAGGACCAGACAAAGGAGGTCTTTTCCCCCACTTCCTATCCTCCCCCAGGGAGATCATCATTCTCTTCTCTTTGCCAGAGCATGAAGGCCCTAGCATTCCTGCAGACAGCCTCTGGGGATGAGTCTAGGTCCTTACCACCTAGAGGACTACACCAAAGCCCACTCACCTCCCGATCAGGGATCACAGAACTCTGGTGGCTGACCACAGCCCCGATCTGGCTGCTTTTGGGGCGGGAATGGAAGTAGCCCTTGGCCTCATCCTCAGGCAGCTTCTTCACAGGCCCCTCCACACGAACCTGCCCAGGGATGATCCAGCTGAGTGACGCCCAATGCTGTCACCAGCCCTTGCCATCAGCACAGGCCTGCTCTCTGTTCTGTTGGCTGCCCCACCAATCCCAGCTCCAATTAGCCCAACTGAGAGTTATATGGCAGGTGGAGTACTGAGGCCTGGACAGGATGCATACCCAGTATGGACACCTTCCCAAGCCTGACCCATAAACTCACCCCTGCCAACCCAGCCCACCCCAAGGTGTCCTGGGAATAATCGCTCACCTGCCGGTTCAGGGGCTCCCAGTAGAAGACAAGAGAGGCAAAGGGATTAGAGTCCTGGAAATGAAAGAGAATCTGTAGGCAGCAATCAGGGCTGGAAGAGGATGTGTCTGGTCCACACAAGGCAGGCAGGAGATCTGCAAGGCTCAGGCCCTCAGCAGATATATTCACTGTGATATATTGTTTACCACTTGAGCTACACCTCGCCTTCCAGCTTTCTGTAGAATAACTGGAGAGAAATCTCTCAGAATTTTCTGCCCAGGCTGGCTTCAAATCGGTATCTTCAGATCTCAGGCTCCTTAGTAGCTAGGATTATAGGCATGAGCAACCAGTGCCCAGCTCACCCATAGATTTTTGAGAAATGTACATGTGGCTGGCATGGATTAAGGGAGGGCTACTCATTTTGAATCCATTCATAGAATGCATATAAATTCCCTCTCTATCTAATATTAGGAAAGGTACTAAGGATAAAGTAAGTGAAAAAGATAGTCTCTACTCCTTCAAAGCTTACTATATAGCAGAAGAGACAAATATCAATCACATAATCCCTGTACAACAAATGCAGTCATAAGCTGGGGGACTAAAAAGGCAGATGGAAAAGTTGCAAGTTGAAATGACAGCAAACAGCACTAAGGGGAGGCTCAGTCCCGGAAGGCTTTGCTGAGGAGACAAGAGTTAATCAGGAATCTATCAGATTATAGGAGTGGGGATGGTTCATTCACTAAGGCAAAGAAATCAATGGCAAGTGCAAAGGCCCAGAGGCAGGGGGAGCGGAGCAGAGAGGAAAGTGGATAGGAAGGAGACTAGGAAGGAGACATGAGAAGGTCATGCAGGCAAGGGTGGAGGCTGGGCCCAGCCCACGTGTGGAAGATTTACGCTGAACTCTCACCAACTCCTTTCCCTTCCGACTCTCATAGTTAGTGAAGAAACGAAAGCCATCCTTGCCAAAGCCCTTCAACAGCAACATGCGGGCAGAGGGTTTTCCATCTCTAGGGACATACAGAAGAGCACCGGAATCAGCCCATTTCAATGTCCTTACTTGTCTCCCTCCCCATAAGATGTCTGAGCAAGCCCTCCAGCCGTGCCCCTTAGCCGGCTCTCAGGCTGACACTCCCACGGACTCTAAGGACTTGTCCTAGAGGTGCAGTAGGACATATTTGCCTGAGACCCTGCTATGGACTGAACTGTGTCCCCCTAAAATTCATATGCTGGTTAACTTCCCTCTCCCCCATGTGACTGGATCTGCAGATAGGGCCTTTTTGTTTTTGTCTTTTGTCCTGGGGGGGGCTGAACTCTGGGCCTGGGCACTGTCCCTCAGCTCTTCAGCTCAAAGCTAGTGCCCTACCACTTAAGCCACAGTGCCACTTCTGGCTTTTTCTGCTTATGTGGTGCTGAGGAATTGAACCCAGGGCCTCATGCATACAAGGCAAGCACTCTACCACTGAGCCACCTTCCCAGCCCCAGATAGGGCCTTTCGAAAGGGAGTAATTAAAGCTAAATGAGGTCAGAGGGAAGGAGTTCTAATACAATAGGACTGGTGTCCTTCTAAGAAAAAAGAGCCACCATAGAATGCTGACTCTCTATCTCTACAAAAAGAAGAAAGGCCAGGCAAGGGCACAGCAAAATAAAACCACGGTTTGTCTAAAGAGGCCTCACCAAACACCATCCCTGACAGAACATTGATCTTGGACTTCCAGCCCTCAGAGCTGTGCAGAATAAACTTAAGCCACTCAGTCTGTATTATAGGACTTTGCTATGGTAGTCTAACAAACAAGGTCCTGAGAGTAAGATCAACAATGAAGTAATCAGCCAATGCTAAGGATCACAAAAAAGGACTGCTATAGCAGGTCTTCTTCCCAGAATTCTGGGAGATACTGTGGGGACTTATACAAGAGCCCTGCCTTCAAGCCTTGTACTCTAATGAGGGGAGACAAGAAGAGCTGAATAAAAGGTTAGTATAAGAACTGTTTCGGGGCTAGGAAGGTGGCTCAGTGGTAGAGCGCTTGCCTTGCATGCCTGAGGCCCTGAGTTCAATTTCTCAGCACCACATAAGCAAAAAGAAAAAAGCCGGAAGTGGTGCTGTGGCTCAAGTGGTAGAGCGCTAGCCTTGAGCTGAAGAGCTGAGGGGCAGCGCCCAGGCCCAGAGTTCAGGCCCCATGACCAGACCACCCCTCCACCCCCCCAAAAAAAGAACTGTTTCAAAGGCTCTGTGATTGTCAAATAAATGATAAAGTACTAGGCTCTGTTCAAAAGGATCAAGCTTCACAGAGTGGTCCCCAGGAAATGTAACTTTTTTGTGTGTGTGTACCAGTCTTGGGCTTTCAGGGCCAGGGTACTGTCCCTGAGCTTCTTTTGTTCCAGGCTAGCACTTTACCACTTGAGCCACAGCACCACTTCTGGCTTTTTTTGTTTATGTGGTTCTGAGGAATCAAACCCAGGGCTTCATGCATGCTAGGCAAGCACTCTACCACTGAACCACATTCCCAGCCCAACTCTTTCATTTTTTTAAGCTCAAAGCTAGGGCTCTTGAACCACATCTCTATTTCTGGCTTTTTTGGTGGTTAATTAGAGATAAGAATCTCATGGATTTTCCTGTATGGGCTGGCTTCAAACCACAATCCTCATACCTCAGCCTCCTGAGTAGCTAGGATTACAGGTGTGAGCCACCAGTGCCCAGTCAAAATGCAGCTCTTGAAGGGCAGATGGTGACATGGAGACAAAGGATTGTGATTGGGTCTGCTAGGGAGAGAGCTGCAAAGCTGTGCATTTTACCATTGAAAGGGAGTTAGTGGTCTGGTGTTTGGTTTACTAGTGAGGATTGGTTGACTGAGGTCCAGAGAAATGACTTGCTCAAGGCCATACATTTTAATGTTTTTTTTTCTTTTGTCCTGTCCTGGGACCTGAACTCTGGGCCTGGGCGCTGTCCTTCAGCTCTTCAGCTCAAGGCTAGCGCTCTACCACTTGAGCCACAGCGCCACTTCCGGCTTTTTTCTTTTTGCTTATGTCGTGCTGAGGATGAGGAATCGAACCCAGGGCCTCATGCATGCAAGGCAAGTGCTCTACCACTGAGCCATCTTCCCAGCCCCATAAGGCCATACATTTTAATAACAGAGCTGGAATCATGGAGTTGACATGCAGTGAGTTGAGAGCTTTCTAAGTTTGAGAATTCATTGGTACCCACCTACAGATGGGGCCCATGGCCATGCCCACCTGGTACAAGTAGCCAGACACATGGCGTTGGCTTCCCCTATGTCAGGACACTGAACAGCTTCTTCGAACCAGGAAGCAAACTGCTTCATGGGGTCCAGAGAAGTCAGATGAGTCTCCTCAAATGCCTGAGAAAGGAATTTTATTCCATTTAATAAACACATAGATTTTTTTTGCACTGATCAAAGAAAGCACTTTCCAAATATTTGCTCCTTTAATCCTCATTACACAATGTTTCCATGATTTAAAAAAAAAAAAAGCAGTACCTAGGAATTAGATTCTGTGCCATCTTAGAGGTCCAGAAACAGGTATAAAAAGACCAATAACTAGCCGGGAGCCGGTGACTCACGCCTGTAATCCTAGCTACTCAGGAGGCTGAGATCTGAGGATTGTGGCTCAAAGCCAGCCTGGGCAGGAAAGTCCATGAGACTCTTATCTCCAATAAATCACTAGAAAACTGGAAGTGGTGTTGTGACTCAAGTGGTAGAGAGCTCACCTTGAGCTGAAGAGCTGAGGAACAGTGCCCAAGTCCAGAGTTCAAGCCCCATGACCCACAAAAAAAGGACTGAATAATTTCCTGGATCCCAGAGCTAGTAAGGCATGAATTGTGGGGAGTGACCTGAGGAGCTGGTGATAAAAGCTCCATCCCATGATTTCTCCTGTAGATGGTCTGGGATTTAATGAAAGTCTATATTAATTTTATCCTGTGCCAGGATAGGGGCTTGAATTTGGGGCCTGGTGCTCTTCCTTAGTGTTTTTTGCTCAAGGCTAGCACTTTGCTACTTTTTTGGTCAGTTGTGAGGCTTAAACTGAGGGCCTGGACACTGTTTCTGGGCCTCTGGGCTCAAGGACAGTGCTTTACCACTTGAGCCACAGAACCACTTATGGTTTTTGAGTGGTTTACTGGAGATAGATACTGTGATCCTCAGATCTGTCTCCTAAGTAGCTAATATTACAGGCGTGAGCAGCTGCCGGCTTGGCCACTCTTATCTCTGATTAACCAGCTAAAAGCCAGAAATGGAGGCTTTAGCTGCCTAGAGATGAGGAGTCTTAGCTTTCTCGGCTCTGGCTAGCCTCAGATCAGTCTCCCGAGTAGCTGGAATTATAGGCAAAAGCCCGTAAACTGACTCCAAGGTTTTTTTTGGTCTTTGTTTTGTTTTCCCAATGCTAGGGCTAGAACTCAGGGCATCATGCTTAAACCACACCCCTAATCCTTACTTGTCATATGATAAGCTGTTCCCCCCCCCCCCAACTGTTCTAGCCATTTCACAGATGCGTATGCCCGTAGCTGCCTTGTGAGGTTGTTGCTATCACTATATAAGTGAGAAACTGAGGCCCACAAAGGATAAGTCAACTCCAAAGGAGGTACATTCAGTAAATGGCTGGATTCCAACCCACAGTTCGTGTGCCTCTTCACCACATCTCCTCTAAACTCCTCCCGGCTGGAGGAGCCAGCACCCCTCTCCCCCACGTCTCCCACTGGGGTGACCCCTAAACCCTCTGGTCTCACGGGTGGCCCCTGGAGAGGGCGTCTCTAACCCCCTTCCTCCGCAGATGGCTCTGGACCTCCTCCCCGCGCCCGGGCCGGAGTCCCCGCGGCGGTGGCCGCACCTCTTGGTCCCCGCGGTAATTCTTGCGCATCGGCCCCAGGTCCATGGCTGCGCCGCGACAGCACGGATGACGGAGGTAGCCCAGCCACCTGGCAGGTCTTCCGATCGTCACCGTGACGCCCCGAAGCCCGCACGTCATGGGGGCCGCTGTCCACGTGACCTGGAGTCGCCAGGCGCTGGGGTTCGACGGCGTTCGGAACCAATTTCTCACGGGGAAGGATTTGCTAGCGGCCCAACCAAACTAACAAGTTCTAAGTCCTTGAAGCCAATGGGTCCAGGAACAGCCAATGGGGTTTTCCAGGATCGGAGGAGGGAGCTAGACACAGAGAGATCATTGGTTAGAATTTTCCGGTGCAAAGCCAATTAGAGCTCTAGTAGAGAAAGCCGAAGTCCAATCGGCAGCGCCTTTGGGGGCGGGAGCAGAGACAAGGAAATGCTGTCACCGCTGTTAAACACGCACGTGGAGTTTTGTTAAAGGTATAGGGATTGCTTCACCCCAGATGGGGGTGGGAGTGGGGGCGGGAATCCCTGGGGGCTTTGGAAGAGCGCTCAGTATTAGCACCTCCTCTGGGATTGAAGGGATTAGGGCATGTGGTACCTCTTGGGAGGGGAGATTGGTGGGCTGTGGAGGGCAAAATGGAATTCAGGGCCAGACTGAAAGTGGCAAGGACCACAGAGAAAGGAAAGAAACTGTGACTTGAGAGTGGGCGAGGTTGAAGTGATTTGTGTACCATTCATAAATTATTGTGTGGTGGGGATGAGGGGATGATCCTTTAGGGACTAGGATGAGAAAGAGACTAGGGTGAGAAGGTAGAGAGCTGAATGAGAAGGAGAAAGAGGGAAATTTGGAATTAAGATATCACAGACCAAGCTGGGCACTGGTGGTTCAAGCTGTTAATCCTGCCCACTCGAGGTTGAGCTCTGAGGATCATAATTAGAAGCCAATTACATAGCAAAAAGCTAGAAGTGGAAGTGTGACTAACCTGGTAGAGTTGCCATCCTTGGGGGAAAAAACTAAGGGTGTGCTACAAGCCCTGCGTTCAAGCCCTGTACCAACACACACACACACACACACACACACACACACACACACAGAGATATCTGGACTAGGCACCAACGTGGTCTGAAAGTATGAGAATTCTGAGATGAAGTTCCTGCCCAAGAGAGGCTTATAATCTGTAGGAGAAGTAAATCTGTGAGCCAAAGAAATGTAGCTCCTGCCAGGCGCTGGTGGCTCACTCCTGTAATGCTAGCTACTCAGGAGGCTGAGATCTGAGGATCAATGTTCAAAGCCAGCTGAGGCAGGACAGTCAGCAACACTTATCTCCAATTAACCACCAGAAAACTGGAAGTGGCACTGTGGCTCAAGTGGTAGAGTACCTTGAGCTGAAGAGCTGAGGGACAGCGCCCAGACCCAAAGTTCAAGCCCCATGACTGACCAAAAAAAAAAAAAAAAAGGAAAGAAGGAAGAAAGAAAGGAGGGTAGCTCCTTAACAGATGTAAGGAAAGGGGAACAACTAGATTTGGCATACTTGTAATTCCAGCTACTTAGGTGGCTGAGGTAGGAGGGGCAAAAGTTCAAGGCCAGCATAGACAATTAGCAAGACACCCCCCATCTCAAAACAAAAAATTAAGAAAGGGAATGACAGTAGCTCAGTGATAGAACTAAGTACTTTCAGGAGGCTCTGAGTTCAGTCCTTAGTATCAAAAGTGTGTGTGTGTGTGTGACAAAAACAAGGGCAAACAGCCTACATATAAAGAGAGCAGTTTGTACACTGGCACAGGAGAGCAGTTTGTACACTGGCACAGGGTAGTGGGATTTGAACTTAGGGCCTGTGCACACTGTTCTTTAGATTTTTTGCTCAGGGCTGGCACTCTACCACTTGAGCTACACCTCCACCTACAGCTTTTTGGTGGTTAATTGGAGATAAGATTCACTTAGAGCTGGGTGCCAGTACTCACGCCTGTAATCCTGGCTACTCAGAGGCTGAGATCTGAGAATCTCTGTTCAAAGCCAGCCTGGGCAGGAAAATCCAAGAGACTCTAATCTCCAATAAACCACCAGAAAACGGAAGTGGAACTGTAGCTCAAGTGATAGAGCACTTGCCTTGAGCTGAAGAGTTGAGGGACAGTTTCCAGGCCCAGATTTCAAACCCCATAACAAACAACAAAAAAGAAAAAAAAGATTTGATTAGATTTGTCTGCCTGGACTGGTTTTATAATAGGATCCTCAGACCTCAGCCACCTGACTAGCTAAGATTACGTGTGTACCTTGCAGTGATTCTGTTTTTATTTATTTATTTATTGCTGGTTATGGAACTGAAACTCAGGGCCTGAGGGCTGTCACTGAGCTCTTTTGCTCAAGGCTAGCTCTACCACTTTGAGCCAGTGTCACTTCAGTTTTCCAGTGATTTATTAGAGACAAAAGTCTCGGGGCTGGGAAGGTGGCTCAGTGGTAGAGCGCTTGCCTTGCATGCTCGAGGCCCTGGGTTCGATTCCTCAGCACCACATAAGCAAAAAGAAAAAAGCCGGAGCCAGGCGCTGGTAGCTCACGCCTGTAATCCTAGCTACTCAGGAGGCTGAGATCTGAGGATCGCGGTTCAAAGCCAGCCCGCTCAGGAGAGACTGTGAGACTCCTATCTCCAATAAACCACCAGAAAACCGGAAGTGACGCTGTGGCTCAAGTGGTAGAGCGCTCGCCTTGAGCTGAAGAGCTGAGGGACAGCGCCCAGGCCCAGAGTTCAGGCCCCACGACCGTACCCAAAAAAAAAAAAAAGAGTCTCACAGACTTTCCTGCAAATCTTCAGATCTCAGCCTCCTAAGTATTCCTAGGATTCCTAATCCTCCTAGGATTACAGACTGAGCAATCAGCACCCGGCTGATTTTTTTTTTTTTTTTTTGTCGGTCATGGGCCTGAACTCTGGGACTGGGTGCTGTCCCTCAGCTCAAGGCTAGAGCTCTACCACTTGAGCCACAGTGCCACTTCCAGCTTTTTCTTATGTGGTACTGAGGAATTGAACCCAGAGCCTCATGCATGCAAGGCAAGCACTCTACCACTGAGCCACCTTCCCAGCCCGATTATATTTATTTATTTATGTCGCTTGTGGGGCTTGAATTCTGGGCCTGGACGCTGTCCCTCAGCTCAAGGCGAGCGCTCTGTCACTTGAGCAACATTGCCACTTCCGGTTTTTTGGTGATTAATTGGAGATGAGTCTCTCCAGGGCTGGGAAGTGGCTCAGTGGTAGAGTGCTTGTCTCCACATGCATGAGGCCCTGGCTTTGATCCCTCAGCACCACATAAGCAGAAAAAAGCTGGAAGTGGTGCTGTGGCTCAAGTGGTAGAGTGCTAGCCTTGAGCTGAATTGCTGAAGGACAGCGCCCAGGCCGAGTTCAGGTCCCATGACTGGAACCCCCCCCCCCAAAAAAAGAAAAAAAAAAAAGAAACTGGGGGAGGACTAGGAATGTAGCTCAGTGGTGGAGCACAAAAAAAGATATAGGTAGGTAGGTGGATAGATAGATATCTAGATAGGAAAAAAAGTGCTAGATTTCAGATAGCTTCTTTCTCTCCCTTGATAATTGCCAAGGAAGTTTGCAGCTGACTCCTTTTCTATATTTTCCCTTTGTTTTGAAGATAATGAGTAGGCTTGTGTTGTTCTTTTCTGCTTCATAGGATTTAGTGTCAGATCACAAAGCAGCCCTGCAGAGCATGAGGACAGGGAAGGAAGAAGGCTGCTCATGCTACCGATGCAACTCTGAGTGGGAGAAATGAATTTTTTTTAAACTGATATAAGTATTTCTTTTAACCCTACCATCCTCAAACTTTGTGTGTGTGTGTGTGTTTTGCCAGTCCTGGGGCTTGAACTCAAGAGCCTAGACACTGTCTCTGAGCTTCTTTTGCTCAATGCTAGCACTCTACCATTTGAGCGGCAGCACCACTTCCAGCTTTTCTGTGTATATAGTACTGAGGAATTGATCCCAGAGCTTCATGCATGCTAGTCAAGCACTATACTACACTAAGCCACATTCCCAGCCTACAATAAATTCTTTTTTTTTTTTCTTTTTTGTGGGTTGTGGGGCTTGAACTCTTGAGTCTGGGTGCTCTCCCTCACTCTTCAGCTCAAGGCTAGCTAGCGCTCTACCACTTGAGCCACAGTGCCACTTCCGGTTTTCTGAGTGGTTTTTATTGGACTTTCCTGCCCAGGCTAGCTTTGAACCGTGATCCTCAGATCTCAGCCTCCTGAGTAGCTAGGATTACATGCATGAGTCACTAGTGCCTGGCTACATAAATTCTTTAACTCCCTCTAACTCAGGCATCCTATGTGAAGCAGGGTAGTCAACTGACTAGTCTAATGCCAGGGTCCATCTATCTGTTGGTCTCTTATTGTCACACAGACTTTATTATGTAGGGAAAGGATCTCCATGGTACTAACAAAGAAGAAATCAAGTACAGAGAAACTGGCTCCATCTGAGATGTATGTCATTTTATTTTTCAGCTATGGTGGTCAGCTGGCTCTAAGGAAAAGCTACTTGCCAGCGGTGCAAGTGCTGGTAACCAAAAAAGGGGAATGGACAGTTTAGGAGCTCCAGTACTCCTCAGCAGAGCTGCAATCCTGGCTGGCCTTCTGAGGGTGAGTTAAATGCAGTTCTCTGCTTGCTTGAGGTGAACTTGCTTCTGCTTCTGCTTCAGCTTGGGTGAGGCATACCCTTACTTCCCAGTAATTAAAACAAACAAAAAACATTCTGGGCTGAGAGGCATGCTTTCAGTAGTAGAATATCTGAAATACATGAGAGGACCCGAGTTCAAAGCCCACCCCCAAAAAAGTTCCCACAAGCTATCACTTCTGCATGCCCTTACTCAAACCAAAAGGCACCAGTCCTGGATGGTGGGAAAGGGGACAGAAGGCAGAATCTGGGGCCAGCAGAATCTAGGCTCCCCAGCCTTTAGTTGCTAGGCTCTCTGCTTGGATCTCCACCTCAGGAAGGTAGCCTTCTCTGGCCCTTAGGGAACTGCATTTGCTAAGGACCCTGGGCCTTCTGGAAGTGGCTGGGCCAAGGCGTCTCCTCCCTGCTTTCCAAGCTTCTTGCTAATGGGTTATGAAGCCAAAGCTCTCCTGGGCAGGGGCAGTGAGTGCAGAAGTCGAGAGGAAGTCCTGCTGTGCCCTGCCTCAATGAGACCTGCTTTATGGTAGAGCCCACAGTGGCTCCTGGATGCAAAAAGCAGAAACGTCTGGATTGGCCTTGGCCTCTGACATCTCTGGAAGTGCTGAGAGCCTGAGCTGTAAGGTGAGGCACATGTGCTCACAGCCCCTTTTGGACTACGGCCTAGGTTCGTCGGGACCCCCCTTTCCCAGCCCCCTGAGTTAAAAGACAAAGGAAGCCCAACTGCCAAGGAGCAGACTTTGCCTCAGGCAACTAAATTTATTAGCAAGAAAAAATTTTGCCAGCCCAGCACTGACCAACAAAGTACATCGTTAATAAAGGATAACAAATCTGTCACTTAATTCATAAAACATACCTCAAGCAGTTACAACTAAAAATAAAGTTGGATTTTAATTTAAAAGCCTCAAAAATAACAAGCAATATGTTTTTCTTAAAACATGTTGTAGACACAATCGTCTATTATACAATATACACTGTACACAGTAGAGCTTGGGCAGCTGGGGCAGCAAGATGGGGAGGGAGAAGGTTAGGATGGGAAATGTTTTTATGTCAAGTCAGATCTGAGTTGAAATGCTGTGTCACTTAGAAAAGAAAACTGCTAGAGGGAGAAAAAAATTCCTATGTTCATCATTGCCCCCCAAATCCTAAATCAAAAAAGGCATGGGAGAGATGAATACCAAGGAAAAGAAGAAGGGAGCAATTAAATAAAACTTCTTTAAAGCACACACATACACAGTGTTCATCATCTGAAGTACAGAGTATAAGGCAACGTTCTCCATAGAAAAAGGGGAGCAGGGAAGAGTCCGAGGACATCTGACCTTTGAAGGAGGAAGTTGGAATGTCTGGAGGAGCGCCATGGCAGGGCTGGGCAGTGGAGTGAAGGTGGCCTCCCAAGCCTCTGCAGAGATGAGTGCCAGTGGGAGGCTGGGTACAAGGTCCCAGGGCATCCCTAGTGACTGAAGGGGCCAGGGAGGCACACCCAGGAGGAGAGCATGGCAAGATGGGACTCCGGCAGTGCTGGGAGTGTCAGGAGTGGGGTGGGGCAGGGCGGGGCTCACTTTGCTCCTTGAAGGAGTGAAATGCATGTTTTTCCTTTGGAAATAGGGTTCCCATGCGTCCTAGTTCAGAACGTCTCAATGGGCATGGCCAGCGTCCATGGTCTGGGCAGGCCAGGAGCTCTTGGTGAGAAGGGAAGGGCCAGGGCAGAGCCAAGGGCTTCAGAAGGAAGAGAGCAGAGCCCCTCCTGTGGGGACACAGTTGCAGAACAGGACGAGCTGAGGGCAGCTGTGGGGCCTGTCTGCCGGGGCCCAGGCCACACAGACGAAGGATTGCATCTTCAAGGTCTCCCACTTCAGTCACTCTTATAAGTTCTTCGTGACCAGGTGGGTCTTGTAATGCTTGGTAAGGTGGTCACTCCTCATGAAGCGCTTCTGACACTGGGCACACTCGAAACGTTTGTCCCCTGGAAGAGGAGATGTTGGTCACCTACACAGTCCCTGTGGAGCCACCCCAAAAAAAGGAGGAACACACGTGACAGGCTCTTAGTAAAGCCAACTGGTTTTGTCTCCACACTCTGTCCACCTCCTGCTTATAGGATTCCGCCCCGTGATCTGTTGATCTAGCTCTTTGACCAATTCTCACTTCTCTGACCCACACACCAACAGTGTGCTTTGTTCTAGTCCTTGTCCCACTGTGCTGGAGCACCTGCACCTCACACATCAGGATGTTCACTCTTTCTTTGTTCTGATCTGTGCCCCTTGAACTTTACACGTGGATCAACATCTTCTCCCTTTTAGGGAAACCCCACACTGCCTTCTAGTCTTGCCAATCCTGAGCATGCATACCCTGACCCAGACTAGGTCAGCTGCTGTTCAATGTTTACTTTTCACTTCAGTAGGAGCTACAGGGATAGGGGTCTAACTCACAGGAGCAATCACTACAGCTGTTTGTAAAGCACCACACACAAATCCCTGGACATGCTCAAGAAAACTTCAGATGACAGGTAAATATTTTTCTATAGCTTTGTATTTTTCTGTCCCAGTACTAAAACATTTAACTATGATATCAAACCCGTGGTCTCAAAAACAGTATTGCCTAGGATATAAATGAGTAAAAAAAGAGGGCTGGGATGTAGCTCAGTGGCAAAGCGCTTGCCTAGCAAGTGCAACGTCCTGGGTTCAATCCCCAGTACCAAAAAAGAAAAGACAAAAAAATACAGTTAAAAAAAAAAACCCAGCCGGGCGCTGGTGGCTCACGCCTGTAATCCTAGCTACTCAGGAGGCTGAGATCTGAGGATCAGGGTTCAAAGCCAGCCCGGGCAGGAGAGACCGTGAGACTCCTATCTCCAATAAACCACCAGAAAACCGGAAGTGGCGCTGTAGCTCAAGTGGTAGAGTGCTCGCCTTGAGCTGAAGAGCTGAGGGACAGCGCCCAGGCCCAGAGTTCAAGCCCCACGACCGACAAAAAAAAAAAAACCCAAACAAAAAATGAGTAAAAAAGATAAAGCAACTAAGGGAAAATCAACAGGGAGATGACAGCAAGAGAGCAGCATGGGACAGCAGGGTACTTGTACATTACATCTGTGCTTATTAACAGCTCTGGAGGAATGCAGAGATGATGTGATACAATGACATGCTTTGAGGACACTGTGATACAGACATGGCTTGAAAGAACTCTCCAGGTAGCCTGGACAGTTGGTAGTCTTGCTAAGTGTGTTGGGAGTGATGAGGCACAGAGGGCAACAGTGAGGGTGCAGCAGGTAGCTGACCTGTGTGAGTACGAGCATGCCTTTGGAGCTCGTCGCTTCTTGTGAACCTCTTCCCACAGAAGAACCAATTGCAGACGAAGGGCCGCTCGCCAGTGTGCAGGCGCACATGGGCTCGCAGCAAAGACGTCTTCCGGAAGGTCTTGCCGCAGTCAGGGATGTGGCACACATGCTTCTTCTTGCCCTGCTCTCCAGACCTGAGAATCGGTTGAGAGTGGGGTGGAAGAGACAGGAAGTGGGGAAGGAGGAGGTAGAACAGGAAGTGGGGAGTCAGGATGAAGAGCACAGAAAAGGCAGGAGGCAAGTGGCATGAAGCCACCAGTTCCCTCTGCATTTGGGCCACCTCAAAGTCCTGAGCAACTGTCCCATGGGCGGGTGTGGGGATGGGGGTGGGGTTAGGGAACAGGGTACATACCAGACTGCTAGTTTGATCCCAACTCTTGAATTACCTCTTTTCCCCATCTTTGCAGTTGGGACACGTGCAGGCCATGCGCCGCCGCTTCTCCCCAGGCTGGGCCTCTCCCGCCAAGGCCTGCTCCATCTGCAGCTGGATCTGGGTGGGGCTCAGCCCACTGATGGTGAGGTTGTTTCCAGAAACGTTCTGCACTGTCAGCTGCTGCTGCCCTGTGAGAAGGACAGAGAAGGACACAACTCAGGGCAGGAAGCCTGAAACCTCAGGTCAGTCTCTTCCTTCTGTAGATGATAAGGATGGTCATCAGGGCAGGTAATATTTTTTAGAGCCAGCCTATCAGATCCCTTAAACAGACTCATAATTGTTACATGGATTCAGAGTCAGCCAATTCTCTAGACCATTACACTCCACTGGCAGCATTTATTTGAAGACAGTTTTACTTGATTTCAGTAGGGAAGTTTATCTTGTCTTGGAACATTCTTCCTGAATCTGTCCAGCCTGTGTTCTAGTGAGCTATCAACTGTTTTCAAGGAAGTTTTCAAGGACTTCTGTTTGTGTAAGAAAAAAAGCAAAAAAGCTGGGGGCTGGTGGTTCACGCCTATAATCCTAGCTACTCAGGTAGCTGAGAGCTGAGGGTCACAGTTTAAAGCCAGCCCTGGCAGCAAAGTCTTGAGACTCTTATCTCCAAAAACTACCAGAAAACTAGAAATGGCACTGCTGCTCAACTGGTAGAGTGCTCGTCTTGAGCTGAAGAGTTGAGGGACAGCGCCTAGGCCGAGCTCAAGCCCCATGACCAACAACAACAACAAAAAAAGAAAAAAGAAAAGAGTGAGGAAAAAGTTCTATGACTTTGAGAAATCAAGTCCTCTTGAACAGTTTTTCCTTCTCCCTGTTGTAGTCCCAATGGGAAAAAACAAATGCCTAAAGTGCTAAGAATTAAGGACTAAAAAGAGTAGAGTTTCAGAAAGCCCCCACTGCCTTGAAAACTGCCCCTCACCCAACTGCAGACTGCAAAGAATTCTTTTTCTTTTCTTTTTTTTTTTTTGAGTCATAGGGCTTTAACTCAGGGACTGGGCTCTGTTCTTGAGCCTCTTTGTACTCAAAGCTAGCGCTCTAACACTTGAGCCACAGCACCACTTCTAGCTTTTTCTGAGTAGGTTTACTAGAGATAGTCTCACTTACTTTCCTGCCGAGGCTGGCTTTGAACTGCAATCCTCAGATCTTAGCCTCCTGAGTAGCTAGGATTATAGGCGGGAAACTGGCACCTAGCAAAGAACTTTTTTCCTAGGAAACTCCAATGTATCCTTTGATTATTGCCCAGGATGCTTTTTTTTTTTGGGTCGGTCGTGGAGCCTGAACTCTGGGCCTGGGCCCTGTCCTTCAGCTCTTCAGCTCAAGGCTAGCGCTCTGCCACTTGAGCCACAGCGCCACTTCCGTATTTTTCTGCTTATGTGATGCTGAGGAATCAAACCCTGGGCCTCATGCATGCAAGGCAAGCACTCTACCACTGAGCCACTTTCCCAGCCCCCCTCTCCCCCACCCCCCCAGGCTGCTTTCACAGTGTAAAATATCACTAGTGAACTGACATGCAGCATAGCTGTCCCACTGCTGAGGGCTCTTCCTTTCCTCCCAAGCTCAACGCCAGTCTTTCTAAGAAGCCCTCTTGACTTCCTTTACCTGGAGTTTCTCAGGTCTTTGGTCTGGACCAAAATAATTTGCATAATTAGTGTGTTACTTAGAAAGTTTTCCTGGGCATGTCTAGTTTTCTCCATCCTATTCAAGGTCTGAAGTTGTCAGATGGGGGTGGGGCAGCATGTGACTTACCCTATCCCACAGTACTACTGTAAGGACTATGTGGGAAGACATACATGGGCCTACTCTTAGGCCGGAGGAACCAGGCAAACAATGGGTAGCATCCTCACTGCTGCCACTGGGAAGCCTCAGGCTTGCCTAGTTCCCACATTCTGGGCACACAGCTCTGCTGCCACCACCTTGGCCATAGGCCTTCTCTCACCGCCCGTGTTGGTGATGGTGACAGGCACACCCTGGACTTGAACACCATTGATGTTGATGGTCTGCATGGCTTGGGCAGCTGCCGCCAGCTGTGCAGCATTCAGGCTGATGATGCTTCCAGCAGGTGCAATCTTTGGCAGGGGACGCTCTTTTCGGAGAATTGCAGCAGAATGCTTTTTGCTGGTCCCACTCAGATGGTGAGCTCTGGGTGCAGGGCTGCTACAGGTCGTGGTTGAAGTGGCTGCAGCTGTTGCTGGGGGGCTGTCCTGGACGAGGACAGTCTGCACCTCCCCAGAAGGTGTTCGGATATAGACCTGAGAAGGCCAAAAAGAAGTGAGTGTCCTAGAGAGTATCTATCCCCTGAATGAGAACTAGGCATCTCTGTCGGCCCCAATTCCTACAGCGTGCCCAAATCTACATTAATACACAATCTTCACCAAGGGCTGATGGCCTCCCTGTACTAAGCTGGCTATGGAACTGAAACCTTTATTTACTTAACATAGAAAAAGATGTTCTAGCTGGGTTCCAGTGGCTCATGCCTATAATCCTAACTACTCAGGAGGCTGAGATCTGAGGATTGTGGTTCAAAGCCAGCCCAGGCAGGAAAGTCTGTGAGACCCTTTATCTCCAATTAACCACCAGAAAACCGGAAATGGTGCTGTGGCTCAAGTGGTAGAGTGTTTGCCTTGAGCTGAAGAGTTGAGGACAGCGCCCAGGCCCAGAGTTCAAGCCCCATGACCAACAAAAAAAAAAAAATATGTTCTTCTAGAACTGGAGAACCAGATGGCAGTATATTATGAATGATCATCAAATAAAAATAGTCCTTAATAGCCATAGGTTAATAGAAACAATTTCTCTCCAATTTACAACGACATAAAGGGAAAAGTATCATTGTTAATGAGTAGTTGGAAATGTGAGGAGGGTTTCTGTGGGGGGAGGACAGCAGCAAACTGGCAGAGGAAGCTAAAGAGCCCATGGGACTGGTTATATTGGAGGAGACTGATCCAGAAAAATCAAGGAAGAATAATGGGAGTGAGGTCTCCTGACAGAGAGAAGGGAGTTACAAATACAGAGAAAGCTAGAGGAAACCCTGTGGTGTCAGATAGAATTAGAAACATTGGTGGAAATTCAGGGGTTTAATAAACAGAAATATAAGTAAAAATGTGTACCTGTATGTCTGCATATGATCTGTATCTATTTGTACTTCTTAGCTATAACCACCAAAAAGGCCTTAGCATCTAAATCCCATGCTCTACTAATAGGAACAAGGACTCCTTGGGGAGAGAGCTGATTTTCAGGGTTGGAGCAGGGAAGACGGAAGAGCCTGGAACAACTGCTGTATTGGGAAGTAAGGAAATACAGCATGGTAAGACTGTGCAAAAAGAACATAAACTGGGGGGCTGGGAAGGTGGCTCAGTGGTAGAGCACTAGCCTTGCATGCCTGAGGCCCTGGGTTCAATTCCTCAGCACCACCTAAGAAAAAAGCCGGAAGTGGCGCTGTGGCTCAAGCGGTAGAGCACTCGCCTTGCGCTGAAGAGCTGAGGGACAGCGCCCAGGCCCAGAGTTCAGGCCCCACGACCGGACCCCCCCCCCAAAAAAAAAAAAAAAGAACATAAACTGGCTGTAGGGGCTTATATGTACACCAAAATAATTATATTAACCCACACAATCTCTTGAATAAAATAGGAGTCCATGAGTCTCTACTAAAAAAGAGCATGACAGAATTTTAAAACTCCTATTATAACTTCCGATAAGAGCAACCAGGACTCCAAAGAGAAATGGTTGGTTTAAGGCCACAGTTGAGAAGATACAAGTTATGAAATTTTGACACATGCTTCAACATGGATGAACCTTTAGAACATTCTAAAAAAACTAGTCACAAGATCACCTATAGGGACAGGGTGTGACTCAAGTGGTAGATTGCCTGTCTAGCCAGCATGAGGCCTAAGTTTAAACCTAGTACTACCAAAAACAATAAGACCAACCACCATATGAATACATTTATACACAGTGTTCACAATTTAGGCAACAGAGAAGCAGAAATAGACTAGTCGGTGGCTGAGGGGAGAAAAGTGGAGAGAAAGGAGTAAATTAGACAGTGTGGCACGACCATACTACATAATAATGTACTGTAAAGAAACTCAAAATCACTGAAACGTACACTTTAATAGGGCAAATTTTATGGCAAATAAATACCTCGATTGAGCTGAAGAAAGGGGGCGGGGGAAGGACAGGCTTATGTCAAATGGGAATAAGCCAACCTGAAGGAGTTTCAAATGGCCAAAGTCAGAACAGTTAGAGCAACAAAATTGACTTATAACCTGAAGTATGAAACAATTATACATTAGTACATACAAATATTAATGAGGAAAAAGAGACAAATTCTCCTTCAGAGGGATTCCAAATAAAATGTGTAGATAAACCTCTTTTAGGGCTGGGAATGTAGTTTAGTGGTAGAGTGCTTGCCTAGCATGCATGAAGCCCAAAGTACCACATAAACAGAAAAAGCTTGAAGTGGCTGTGTGGCTCAAGTGGTAGAGTGCTAGCCTTGAGCAGAAAGAAGCTCAGGGACAGTGCCCAGGCCCTTTTTCAAACCCCAGGACTGGCAAAAAAACCCCCAAACAAACCTCTTCTAGGATACAGAACCTAATTCCCACTCCCAGTCCCCATGTTGCAAGACTTAGCTTTATTGCCAAATAGAGAAAAACAGGAAAAATCTCGACTTGCAATGAAGACACCTAGCAAACAATTACCCAGTAATAAGTGCTAACACTGCCAGGAGTGTTCTGTTTTCCTGATAAGAGTGTGAGGGACATTTTTGCCCCTGCTATTCTTTTTTTTTTTTTGTCCATCGTGAGGCTTGAACTCTGGGCCTTGGGGCTCTTCCTTAGCTTTTCAGCTCAAGGCTAGTACTCTCCTACTTGAGCCACAGTGCCACTTCCAGTTTTCTGGTGGTTTATTAGAGATAAGAATCTCATGGACTTTGCTGCCCCTGCTGGCTTTGAACCACGATCCTCAGATCTCAGCCTCTTGAGTAGCTAGGATTACAGGAGTGAGCAACCAGTAGCCAGCTAACCTCTGCTACTCTTTACAAAAACCTCTAACTTTAACTTCACTTAATAATCACCTGGAATCTAGGAAAGATAGGACTGACTGATAACATTTTTATGAAAAGGGACTGAAACTACCACTAAGAAACAATGGAGGGAAGGTGGCTCAGTGGTAGAGCGCTTGCCTTGCATGCATGAAGCCCTGGGTTCGATTCCTCAGCACCACATAAGCAGAAAGAAAAAAGCCGGAAGTGGCGCTGTGGCTCAAGTGGTAGAGCGCTAGCCTTGAGCTGAAGAGCTGAGGGACAGCGCCCAGGCCCAGAGTTCAGGCCCCACGACTGGACCCAAAAAAAAAAAAAAAGAAAGAAACAATGGAGCATTCACAGAACAAACCACTACCTGGCAAGGAAGACTTCTTTATCGAGCCCAGCGATGTTAACTTCTTGGAACTCCTCCCAAATAGGGACTGAATTACCTGTCAACCAGGCCTTACTTGGACCAAGACTGTTGTAACTATGCATACCTTCTCACTCCTGCCCCAAATTCTCCATATTTAACCTAAAACTCATTTCTATTCCTTGAAGACTGCTTGAAGTTGATGGCGGTAAGTAGATCTTACATGGAACTCCTGGAGTTTGGGCCTGGGGTCTAAAACACTGCTTTATACTATAGAGGTAAAATTTACTTAGGGCGGAGGAGAGGGGACTGAAGTATACAGAGGTGAAAGGGGAATCATAGTAGCAAACTTTGCTTGAATGATTCAGGGAAAAGGTTCTTTGTAAAGAACTTTCTTCTATGACTTTTTATTTATTTTTGGTCAGTTGTGGGGCTTCAACTCTGGGTTTAGGCGCTGTCCCTCAGCTCTTCAGCTCAAGACCAGTGCTCTAGCACTTGAGCCACAGTGCCACTTTTGGTTTTCTAGTGGTTTATTGGAGATAAGAGTCTCACGGACTTTCCTGCCCAGGCTGGCTTTGAACTGTGATCCTCAGATCTCAGCCTGAGTAGCTAGGATTACAGGTGTGAGCCACTGGCACCCGGCTTCTTCTATGAGTTTAATTAGGGTTATTTATTTATTTAGTGGTAGTACTAGGTTTAAACTCAGGACTTTGTACTCTACCACTTCAGCTATGCCCCCAGTCTTGGGGTTATTTTTTTTTTTGCCAGGCCTGGGGCTTGAACTCAAGGCCTGGGCACTGTCCTTGAGCTCCTTTTGCTCAAGCCTAGCACTCTACCACTTGAGCCACAGCACTACTTCTGGCCTTTTCTATTTATGTGGTACTGAGGAATCGAACCCAGGGCTTCATGCTTGCTAGGCAAGCACTCTACCACTAAGCCACATTCCCAGCCCTCTTGGGGTTATTTTTATTTCCTGAGTTACTGAGGACTGTCTCTCAATTAAAAACAAACAAACAAGCTGGGTGCTAGCAGCTCACATCTGTAATCCTAGCTACTCAGGAAGCTGAGATCTGAGGATTACTGTTTGAAACCAGCCTGGGCAGGAAAGTTCATGAGACTCTTATCTCCAATAAACTACTGAGAAAAAGCTGGAAGTGGTACCGTGGCTCAAGTGGCAGAGTGCAAGCCCTGAGGAAAAGAATCTCAGGGACAGTGCCCAAGCACTGAGTTCAAGTCCCAGGACCCACACAGAAAAACAACAACAAACAAAAAACCTCATTGTCATCCTTAAATACCAAAATCTCTTAACTATTTCTTTTTTTTTTTCTTTTTTTTTTTTTTTTTTTTGTTGGTTGTGGGGCTTGAACTCTGGGCTTGGGCACTGTCTCTTAGCTCTTCAGCTCAAGTCCGGCACTCTACCACTTGAGCCACAGCCCCACTTCCAGTTTTCTGAGTGGTTCACTGGCGATAAGAGTCTCACAGACTTTCCTGCCCAGGCTGGCTTTGAACTGTGATCCTCAGATCTCAGCCTCCTGAGTAGCTAGGGTTACAGGCATGAGCTACTAGTGCCTGGATATTGTTATTTTTATATCTATGGAGGGGGGTATTGTTTTTGAGACACGATTTCCCTAGATAGTATGCCTTGAACTCCTAATCTTTCCGCCTGATCTTTCCGCCTGGTCTGTGGAGTGCTAGGAATATAGATGTATGCCAGCACACTCTGCTTAACAAACCTTTTTTTCTTTTTTTTAAAGGTTAGGTAATAAATATTTTAGGCTTTGTAGACCATAGTTTTTGACTCGGCTACTAACTCTGCTATTATAGCACAAATGACTGTGTCAGTATTCTAATGAAACTTTCTTTAAAAAAAAAAAGTAGGGACCAGATGTAACCTGAAGGCTAAAGTCTACCAAAAATTTTCCTTGACAGTCCTGGAGCTTGAACTCAGGGCCTGGGTACTGTCTCCGAGCTTCTCTGCTTTTTTTTGCTCAAGGCTAGCATTCTACCACTTGAGCCACAGCACCAATTCCGGCTTTTTCTGTTTAGGTGGTATTGAGGAATTGAACCCAGGGCTTCATGAATGCTAGGCAAGCACTCTACCACTAAGCCACATCCCTAGTCCCCCTGAACTTATTTTTCTCAAGGCTAGCACTCTACCACTTGAGTCACAGTGCTACTTCTGGCTTTTTCTGCTTATGTGGTACTGAGGAATCAAACCCAGGGCTTAATGAATGCTAGGCAAGCACTCTACCAATAAGCCACATTTTCAGCCCTAGGAATTTATTTAACTACAAAAATGGAAATAGTTTAGATATAGTTAATAGGCATTAGTTATATAACTGTCAAACTTTCAACACACTAGAACAAAGATTAGGTAATCATTTTTTAATGTTTTAGCTAAATTTTTTTTTTTTGGCAATAGCTAAATCTTTATGCATCTGTATTATTATTTCCTCAGGAAGACCTGGCTTATGTCTTGCCTCCATCAACTCAAGATGTGGGACTTCACAGAAAGGAAGGCAACACTGCTGCCATCTGCACACCTGAACAGGTATCACTCAGTATTTCAGTGATAATGGGACCTCATATATATATATATATATATATATACATATATATATATATATATATATATATCATATATATATAAAATAAATGATTTGTAAAACAAATCAAAGCTAGTTGGGCACCAATGGTCTATATCTGTAACTAGCTACTCAGAAGGCTGAGATCTGAGGATCAAGGTTTGAAGCCAGCTTGGGCAAGAAAGTCCATCAGATTCTTATCTCCAATTAACTACCAAAAAGTCAGAAGTGGAGCTGTGGCTCAGGTGTTAGAGAATTAGCCTTGAACAAAAAGAGCTACTCAGGACTGAGATCTGAGGATCACAGTTCAAAGCCATCCTGGGCAGGAAAGTCCAGTGAGATTCCCATAACCACTCAGAAAACAGGAAGTGGTGCTGTGGCTCAAGTGGTAGAGCACTAGCCTTGGGCTGAAGAGCAGAGGGACAATGCCCAGGCTCAGAGTTCAAGCTCCATGACTGACAAAAAAAAAGAGAGAGAGCCATGCGTCGGTAGCTCCCACCTGTAATCCTAGCTACTCAGGAGCCTGAGATCTAAGAATCACGGTTCAAAGCCAGTCTGAGCAGGAAAGTTCATGAGACTCTTATCTCCATAAAGCACCAGAAAACCAGAAGTGGTGCTGTGACTCAAGTGGTAGAGCTCTAGCCTTGAGTTGAAGAGCTGAGGGACAGCGTTCAAGCCCCACCATCACTACCACCAACAACAACAAAAAAGAGCTCAAGGATAATGCCCATGCCCAGGGTTCAAGCCCCAGGACTGGCATCACAAAATAAAACAAAAGCTGATCACTGGTGGCTCACACCTTTAATTCTAGTTACTCAGGAGGCTTAGATCTGTGACCACAGGTCTGAAGGATCACAATCTGAAGCCAGACTGGGCAGACAAATCTGTTATCTCAATAACCAGCAAAAAAATGGGTTGGAGGCTGACTAAAGTAGTAGAGCCTCAGCCATGAACAAAACCCCTGAGTTCAAGCTCTAGTACCAGCCCCCCCCCCCCCCCAAAAAAAATCAGCTCACAATATGCCACAGGGTGGTGGCACTCTACTGTAGACTTCTAACTTCCTACTGTGTGACTTATGTCCCCAGCTTTGTGTCAAGGGCAAACCTCTGTCACTTACTCCTTTCTTTATATAGATAACGTAACTTTAGTTTAAATATTCCTGATATAAGCTGTTCCTACCTATTGTTTTTCTTGTCATTAACAAGGATCAGAATGTTTCTCATTTCTTACTTTACATCAAATTCTATGGTTCTTACTGGGATTTCTTCATTCTTGCTATTGTTCTGAGTAATTCTACAATAAAAAATGAACTTTATTACTAAAATATATAATCTGCTGTTAATTAATCCCCTAAGACATTCCATAAAGAAAAAGAACAAGCCAGGTGCCAGTGGCTCACACCTGTAATCTATCTTCTCAGAAAGTTGAGATCTGAGATTTGAAGTTCAAAGCCAGCCTGGGCAGAAAAGTAAGATTCTATCTCCAATCAGCCCGCAAAAACACTAAACTAGGGGTGTGGCTCAAATGATAGAGTGCCAAAAAAGTAAGTGAAAGCATAAAACAGAGTGAAAAAAATAAGTAAAAGCATAAGGTACTGAGTTCAAGCCCCAGTACTAGGACAGGAGAAAAAGAAAAACTAAGTTTCATCTGATTTCTACATCTGATAAGCAGTACTTAGCCCAAGATCTGAAAAGAGCCCATTTGTCAGGTAGAAATTGCTTGCTACTCTCTGCCTGCCTGGAATGTTTCTGACTCCCAACACCCCGGTGAGCTGATTGCCCTCACCTCCAAAAGCAAGCCAGAGGAAGAGTAACCAGAGGAAGAGAGGGAGGCAGGGCAGAGAAGGAGTTACCTGAGTAGGTGTAGACTCAGTTGTCTGTATCTGAAAGCTCTGAGAGGGCTTCTGAGGGACGGTGGGGAGGGTGGCAGATGCAGCCTGCACCACTCGCAGTGCCTGCTGGGGAATCTGCACCACCTGCTGCTGTTCAGCTTTGGGGGGCACCACTTGCACCTGCTGGACCACAGCTGGCTGGCCCCCACCTGGGCTTTGAACAATGAGCAGGTTGTTTCCTGCCTGGATGATGTTGTCTGCTGTGGTCTCAATCAGCACCGTTTCCACCTGCTCAGCTACAGCCACTGGCGGCTGGGAGACAGGAAGGGTCTTCTTCCTGACTTTCTTATTAGTCTTAGACAGAGGCGCAGGAGGGCTTTCGGTCAGGAGCTGAGTGGCAGCCCCTGCATCGCTGGCATTCATCAGGTTGTTGACAGGTAGAGTGAGCGTCACATTGCCACCCCCTCCCGTCAGCTTCACCACATTGGCCCCACTCTGCACTGGGGTGGTAGTTGTACTAGACTTCTGGACAGGGGCTGGCTTGATGGGGACAGGCTTGTTGTGGCTGGATGGTGAGGGGGTGATGATGGCTTGGTTAGTACCAGGGATGATCTGAATCTGGTTGGTGAGATTGGGCTGCACCTGGATGGTTTGGGAACTGCTTGCCTGAATCTGAGGGACTGTCTGGTACTGGATATTTGTGTTGGATCGAGTCCCTTTGTTGATCATGGTGGGATTCTGGATAGCAAAAACCAGCTGGCCTCCAGGATAGGAGGTACTTAGCTGTGAGCCCTGAATCTGCAGTATGTTTCCTTTGGAGGACAAGATGCCGAAGCTATTCTTGCTGGGACTGAGAGGCAGAGGGGCAGGTTTGATAGGGACCAGTTTCCTTGGTGTGGGCTGGGGTGGAGCAGGAGGTGTCACCGCAGCTTCAACTGCTGGTGGGCCAATTTTGCTACATGTTGCAGCAAGCAGAGCCAATGGGGATGGCTGAGAGTCCTGAAAAAGCATCAAAAGGAAGGAGTGAGACTGAAGTCTGTGACTAGCCACCTCTCTTCACCGCAACATTCCCCCACCCCACCCCACCCCCACACACATACACTCTAGCTCCTGTTGGTTTCTCCATGAGGCTAAGGGAGAAAACATGGGAAATGACTTTCTCTGGAAGGAACTCTCCAGAAGCAGTCCCTGGCCAGGGTGAACTAACAGTGTCAGCCAGCAATTCCTCCTGCTGACCCTGTATTATAGCAGGGACAGTGCTACACCTGCAGGTCTCAAATTGGGTTCTGTGGGCCCACCATACAAAATTGGGGGGAAGGAGTTAAACAGGAAGGACAGACACTTTAGTATGTTTTCTAGGGATGGTAATTATGCTCCCTGGACTGAGAAGGGCTGTTCTGGAGGCAGCAGCGACAGGACAGGTTCTAGCAGAAGGACTGCTGAGCTTAACTCTGGTCTTTCCACCTGACCCACTTTGGTACCTTAGGCAAATGACTATTGCTTCTTGGATAACAGAACCTTCCCAAGACTCATGTCCTAGGATGTTTACTGTAAGAGAATGGAAAGGATTTTCTTTTCCTTTTTTTTTGGTTGGTTGTGGGGCTTGAACTCTAGGCCTGGGTGCTGTCCCTGTGGTCTTCAGCTCAAGGCTAGCAATCTACCACTTAAGCCACAGCGCCATTTCTGGTTTTCTGAGTGGTTTATTGGAGGTAAGAGTCTCACGGACTTTCCTTGCCGGGGCTGGCTTTGAACCGCAATCCTCAGATCTCAGCCTCCTGAGTAGCTAGGATTACAGGCGTGAGCCACCGGCGCCCGGCTTGGAAAGGGTTTTCTGAGTGTGGTGAATGTCGTCCAAGCAGCCTGCCCTCAAAGCCCACTGCCCACTTGCCTGGGTGGTGGCGGCTGGCTGCAGGTAGTCACTGGGACTGACAGCAGCAGTGGCAGCCATGCTCGTCTGTGGATCTGTTGGAAGAAAAGATACGGAGTAATGCAAAAGACAGAGAGCAGAAAAGATCCCAAGGCTCAGTTTGTTAATGGTACTGGGGTTTGAACTCAAGGTCTTGGGTTTGCTAGGTAGATACTCTACTACTTAGGCCATGCCCCAGCCCTTGTTGCTGCTTCTCTGAGAGAGAGATTAAACAGCCTTCTCCCCATGTTTCCACTTTAGGGTGGCAGTCCAGCACTTGTCAGTAAACCTCCTCTACTCACACTGAAGTCTCTAAGCCTATATATGGACAAAATGGGGCAATTGTTCTCTTGTACTTTTTTGGAGGAGGTAGTGGTAGTACTGGGTTTTGAACTCAGGATCTTGTGCTTGCTATGCAAGTATGCTACCACTTGAATCATATTTCCATTTTTTTCTGGTTATTTTGGAAATTGGGGGGGAGAGGGTTAGTGAACTTTTTCTTCCCAGGCTGGCGATGAACTGCCATATTTCTCAACTTTCTGAGCAGCTAGAATTACAAGCATGAGTTGGTGGCACCTAGCTTTAGTAATTTCCTTTTAAAAATGAACAGGTGCCAAAGATCACTGGGGACTGTTCTTTAACCACATCCTACACATTGTAGGGCCTGTGTGTGTTTATAAGCACAGTCCTATAGTTTTAGGGGCTAATGAGGAGAGCTTCATTCTGTACATTCAACCCATGATACACCTGTGCAAAGGAAAAGGTAACATCTTTTTCAGAAGCAATGGAGGCCTGTGTCACTTGGCAAAGGTACACTGCAGGGAAGGTGTACAGGGGGCCCAACGAGTCCAGTCTGTACAATACATGACTGAAGCCAGTAACTGGTTCCACCAAATATCCTCTAAGAATGTTGTTGATTTTAGTTTTACTAGCTTTTTATAGTTATTTGTTAGTTTGCTTTTGCTTTTCTTTTGAGATGGAGGTCTCATTTTGTAGCCAAGGCTGGCTTCAAACCCTTCTGTCTCAGTCTCCCAAGTGCTGGGATTACAAATAGGGACTACTACCCCCGCTTTAGTTTGAGGTTCTTATAAAATTAAGTAAAATTAACATTTTAGTGAGCTAATGTAAGTCAACCCCCAAACACCTTTTCCTTTAGAGCACTGTTGTTCAAACTGTTAGACCATGAGCCACAGTTATAAAAATAATTTATTTTGGGGCTCAGGACATAGGTTAATAATTAGTACTTGTTTAGCATGCACAATCCCAGCAACACACACATGCTCACACACACAGTAATCAAAATAACTTACTTCAAAACCTAGCATGCATGCATGCACTTATGCACACACACACACTCATGCAACAAATCCCTGTCCTGTGCTCATATAGGAAAAGTTGGCTGAAATAAGACTGAAAGAGTGGTTCAGATGGTACAGCACCTGCCTACCAAGCAAGCATGACACCCTGAAATCAAACCCAGTACCACCAGAAGTTTCCTGAAACAAAATTTGTACTTACTACCATGTGATTTTGACATTTTTCTGCTTTATATTAAAAGTGCTGATTGTGACCCATTAAATTGCTTTTATACTTAACTGGCTGAAAAATACAGCTTTGGTCTATATACTACCAAAGTTTGAGAAAAAGTAAAAAGATCTAGAAAGTAAGTTAAATTGGCAGATATCATAGAACTTCAAACAATGGGTGTATTAGGGTGAAAGGTTGGCATAATACTAAGAGTACCAGGCTTTAGAATTTAGATTGAATTCTAAGTGAGACTTCTGACTGTGGGTCCATCCACTAGTGTGGTGGTCAGGTGCTCCTTTCAGATTTACAGCACCACCATCTTCAGGGTTTCTGTGAGGCTCCAATTACTTACTCAAAAACATCAAGCACAGGGACTGGCATGTGTATATGGCATTGTAAAGTTTAGTAAATCCTGCACTAAGGTCAAACAACAAGAACAGGCCAGGTGCTGGTGGCTCATGCCTGTAATCCTAGCTACCCAGGAGGCTGAGATCTGAGGCTTGTGATTCAAAGCCAGCCCAGGCAGAGGAGACTGATTTCCAGTTAACCACCAGAAAACCAAAAGTGGCACTGTGGCTCAAAGTGGTAGAGTGCTAGCACTGAATAAAAGAACTCAGGGTCAGGCTCTGAGTTCAAGCCCCATAACCACCACCACCACCACCAAAAACAAGAACAGGCCAGACACCAATGGCTCACACCTATAATCTTAGCTACTCAAGAGGCTGAGATCATGGGGCTAGGAAGGTGGCTCAGTGGTAGAGTGCTTGCCTTGCATGCATGGGCCCTAGGGTCGATTCCTCAGCACCACATAAAGCAGAAAAAGCTGGAAGTGGCGCTGTTGCTCAAGTGGTAGAGCACTCGCCTTGAGCTAAAGAGCTGAGGGACAGAGCCCAGGCCCAGAGTTCAGGCCTCATGACCGACCAAAAAAAAAAAATCAAGAGGCTGAGATCAAAGCCAACCTGGGCAGGAAAGTCTGCTAGATTCTTTATCTCCAATTAACCACCAAAAAAAGCTGAAAGTGGAAGTGTGGCTCAAGTGGAACAGCGCTAGCTTTGAGCACAAAAGCTCAGGGACAGTGCCCAGGCTTAGGACCAACATGCAAAAATAAATAACAAGAAGACAGAGCTTAACAGTACTTGTCATGTAAAAACAAAACAAAACAAAAATTAGTGGCTTTTGACTCAAAGCTAAATGAGAACCAGTAGAATCTACATATGATTGCCAAAGAAGCTACTACAATCTTGGACTGCATTTCTAGAAACTTAATCATAGAACAAGAGAAATCATAGTCCCAGTGGATTATGCATATCAGGCCATGTCTAGAGAGTCAGGTTGTGTGTGCTTTGAGGGATATTTCCAAAGGGGGATTTTTAACTGGAGCTGATTTAAAGGAAAGCAGCAATGGTTGTAGCCAGGGTATGTGGGTAGGGACATTCACTGGGGTACTTGTTTCATACAGTTTCAAAGGGTTGAATCAAGACATCAGAACAGACATTGTAAAGATTTCAGTTTAATTTAAGAGAACTTTTAAGCGATGGGATCAATTGCCTTTGGGGGTAATGTTCTCTCTCTCTGGAACTGGTTAACCAGATGAAGGATATATGTTTCTGTTGGAGATGGGATAGGAAATCAAAGCAAATAATTCTTAAGATTTCTATACTTTTGGGGGACTGGGTGGATATAGCTCAGTGGAATGGCAGTAGCCTAACATGTGCAAGGCCCTGGAACTGATGCCCAGCACGAGGAAAAAAGAGAAAAAAAAGTAAGATTTTTACATTTTTCATGTTGCTGATAAAAACAGGAGATAGGTGCTGACAGGGCTGAGAAGGCAGATGAGACCTCCTAGGAGACATGTTGGAGCTCTCAAGTTCACAGCTAAACATGGTCAGTGACTCTCCCTCAGTCAGACACCACCCTGTGTTATGAAACCAAGGAACACAGAACAAGACAGAATGAAAATGAAATGAAAACTGACCCAGCACTTTCTAATTATCCCCCCTTCCCACAAGGCAGTCATTAATTACCCTGGACTCAAAGCGTTTAGAGACCCCGCTGGGTGCTGGGCTTCTTCAGTTAAAGTAGAATCTACTGAGGCAAGCTGCAGACTGCAGGCTTCCATGCTGCGACATTTCAGTTTGGTTTCATTTTCCTCCCCGGCTGGTTCTGAAATACTCCTCTAGATATTAAAGCACTCTAAGGATGTCTCCTAGTGTCACTCAAAGCTTTATATTCCCTGGGCTGTAGACTTGAATGGTCAAAATAGAGACTACTGTCCCTGCCATGGCAGAATTATGTCCTGGAAAACCACTGAGAAAAGAGAAGGGAAAAAAGAAGTACTTCCAGTTAGTTTTGGGGAATGAAAGTGGATGAGAGGTAGCCAGATATGTAACTGCATGATTATGATCAAAGGTACCGTGAATCCTCATTAATTTGGAACCTTTTTATTTAAAACGTATAATGTGATATAAATTATACTTAACTTTTCCTTTATACTATTGAAAGCACAGCTAAGTATATGAAGATAGACTCAGGCGTAGTTATGTAATTGTTTTATACCACTTCCACCATTTTAACAGTATCATTTGCTTTTAACAGCAATTAACATCTAGTTGTAGAAAACTACACTTAGTAACATTGATAAGATTTATCAGATAGTCTTGAAAGAAAATACTGATCTCTTTCAAAGTTGTATTATTTACAGACTTTTCATTAATTCAGGTTGACTAAAACCTCCTCAACAGTCCCTAGGATGATGAAATTTTACAGTGATTATTTTTTTTTGGGGGGGGGGGTCGATCATGGGACCTGAATTCTGGGCCTGGGCGCTATCCCTCAGCTCTTCAGCTCAAGGCTAGCGCTCTTCCACTTGAGCCACAGCACCCACTTCCGGCTTTTTCTGCTTATGTTGTGCTGAGGAATCATGCATGCAAGGCAAACACTCTACCACTGAGCCACCTTCCCAGCCCCCCCACCTTTTTTTTTTTTTTGTCGGTCGTGGGGCTTGAACTCTGGGCTTGGGCGCTGTCCCTGTGGTCTTCAGCCCAAGGCGAGTGCTCCACAGCTTGAGCTACAGCACCACTTCCGGTTTTCTGGTGGTTAATTGGAGATAAGTGTCTCACGGACTTTCCTGCCCAGGCTGGCTTTGAACCTTGATCCTCAGATCTCAGCCTCCTCAGAAGCTACCATTACAGGCATGAGCCACCGGCTCCCGGCTTTTACAGTGATTTTCTATACAATAGTAGTACATCTCTTAGGCCCCAAGAAAAACTAAAGGTATATAGAACAAGACTTGCCGTAGCATGAACAGAGGTGCCAGGTGTCTAGTAGGACCATACTTACTCTAAAGAAGCTATTACAATCTTGGGACTGTATTTCTAAAAACTTAATCATAGAACAAGAGAAATCATAGTCCCAGTGTATTATGCATATCAGGCCATGTCTGGAGAGTCAGGTTGTGTGTGTTTTAAGGGACATTTCCAAAGGGGGATTTTTAACTGTTGCTGATTTAGAAGAAAGCAGCAATGGTTGTAGTCAGGATACCAGGGTGGGGACATTTACTAGGAATTTCCTCCCCCCATATTGGAAACCAACTGAACCTCAAGACTGACAGAAAAGCATCTAGTCTCCTGGCTCTTATCCTCCACCTCCACCACCTATTCTCTAGCACAGCCCCCCTCTTCCCTCTCTCCTAGGCCAAACTTGGTGTGGTGAAATTGCTACCAAATGGACTCTACAGTCTCCTCCCTACTTCTGCCCTACACTCTGTTGGCTGCTCCTGCTCAGGTCCCATCAACCTCCTTACTGCTACACCAGATCTCTATTGTTGTCTCCTCCCCGAAACGCCTATGGATTTTCTCCCACCTCTTCCCTTTGTGGACTCCTTTTTTTCTGTCAGCTGTGGAACTTGAACTCAGGACCTGGGCACTGTCGTCGAGCTCTTTTGCTCAAGGCTAGCACTCTATGACTTTAAGCCACAGTGCCATTTCCAGTTTTTTTGTGTGTGTGGCTAATTAGAGTCTGTGAGACTTTCCTGCCTGGGCCAACTTTGAACAGCAATTCCTCAAATCTCAGCCTCCTGAGTAGCTAGGATTACAGGCATAAGCCATCAGCACCTGGCTATGGATTCTTTTCCTTGCCACCCCTAAAAATGTGGCGTGTTTTTTTTCCCCTTCACCCAACAATCCACTCACAGTCAGTGTAGGCACCACTCCCATGGCATCAGGTTCCTGCTATAGGCTGAAAGCTCTAAGGCCTCTCCAGTGCATACTAGTCTAGTACACCCAGCCCCGTGGGACTCTATTTGGACTGGCCACAGACACTCCCAACCCTGAACATTTCCTCCTAGAGTTTCTCATCCCTAGCTTGAGGCCTCCTTCCAGACCCTAAAGGAGCCCTTATCTCTGCTGCTGCCCTTCTCTTGTTAGAACATTTTGTCTTCCTTCAATCTTTCAGGTTTGTTTTTTTTTTTTTTGTTAGTCGTGGGGCTTGAACTCTGGGCATGGGGTCTGTCCCTCAGCTCTTCAGCTCAAGGCTAGTGCTCTACCACTTGAGCCACAGTGCTACTTCTAGTTTTCTGGTGGTTAATTGGAGATAAGAGTCTCGTAAACTTTTTTACCTGTACTGGCTTTGAACTGTGATCCTCAGATCTCAGCCTCCTGAGTAGCTAGGGTTACAGGCATGAGCCACTGCCGCCCAGCTTTCAGGCTGTTTTGTGAGTGTGTTTTTCCCCCCAGTAAAATTATTTTTTTTTGGGGGGGGGTCCGGTTGTGGGGCCTGAACTCTGGGCCCGGGCACTGTCCCTCAGCTCTTCAGCTCAAGGCTAGCGCTCTACCACTTGAGCCACAGCGCCACTTCCAGATTTTTTTCTTTTTGCATATGTGGTACTGAGGAATCGAACCCAGGGCCTCAGGCATGCAAGGCAAGCGCTCTACCACTGAGCCACCTTCCCAGCCCTCCCCCAGTAAAATTATTAAGTGATGTTATAGAGATGTCCTATCTTGAGATGAGGTGAAGTCCTTTGGTAAAATACTACTCATGGGCTGGGAAGGTGGCTCAGTGGTAGAGCGCTTGCCTTGCATGCTCGAGGCCCTGGGTTCGATTCCTCAGTACCACATAAGCAAAAAGAAAAAAGCCGAAAGTGGTGCT